CTATCTAGCATCTTTACTGGAGGAGCAGTTTGTCAACAAGTAAGTGGATTTTTTTGTGAAAAAAGAAACATTCAAGATTTTGAGTAACTGATGTAAGGCTAACTTGCTGCCTTGATAGTTGCAGTCTTAAAAGTTGCCTTTTCAATTGTCAAATGTTTTTACTCAATTTCCACATCAATGAAGGAATATCAGGCAGGTGTTAATCACCATGTTGATGGCCCTATTTGCATTTCAGTGGATTGTTTTTACAATTAATGGTATGAGCTATGAGGGTAGGCGTCAACAAAACAAAGGACAAGTTGGATTATAGACTGCTTATATAGTGGCTTTCTATTGTACTGCACTAAAACATAAGTTTTCTGGTATCTTATATTCACGGTTACAAGTTTTAAGACAGTGCAGGTAGCTTATGGGCTATGATGGTGTAGGTTTGAGTCCCTATAACCATGTTTTGGGACTGCAGGAACATTTTTTTTTAAATTTGGAAATGGATAACTCGAACAAGAATGAATAGATTTTCATGATTGCCTTATTAGATGTAGATTATGCAAATCAGAAGTTAATTTGCATGTTCCCTTCTGTAACTCCAGCTATGTCCATAACATGGAGAAGTTGCTGAAGGGAGTGTACAGAGAGCTGGGTCTGACCCTGCCTGACCTGCTGGCTCCAGGACTAGATGAGAAACATGACCTCCCTAACAAACTCTCCGTCGGCCCTGCTGCATCTGTAGCCTCTGCTGTGGACTCGGCATCTTCTGTCAGCTCACAGAGGTATGGTACTGTAGGAAGATAACTCTGTGATATGGCAGATTTGTACTAGAAAGGCAACATTTGCAAGAGAATGTAGGATATTTCACTCCCATTCCTCCAAACTAAAAATTGTGTGGTCTAGAATCCATACATTTTTTTATCACTGCAGGAGTAGGTAACAATGGTTGAAGAATGTACTAAAGTAATAGTGATATCAGTTTATGACACTTTTTCTCTCTGAAATCAGGGGTTCCAGACGGTTTGTACGGAATCCCAGTTTGATGGATGCAGGGCAGAAGAAGGCAATCCTGGTACATGTGGCTCCTGCAGACAAGGCAAAAAAGGTACCATTTCTTACCTAATCTGCACCTATGCACAATGTTGTGGGGAATTTGTCAGATTATTTCATTATACAAACCCCTGTATTGTGCGGTAAAATCTCCCTGCACTTTTTTTTCCAGAGTAAAAGGAAAAGGAGGAAGTCAGGTAGTGCCAGGAAAAAACGTTCTGATCCTGTTGCTGTTAAAGAAGAAGGTAATTGGAATTTAAGACAATA